ACTAGGTAGAGTTAACTACAACTAATTGAGATGACTGCTAGTAGCAGTCTGCTACCAATGCTACAACGTTTAAATATTTACAATTGTAGACCATGAGACTGAATCTTACTTGGCAATCAAACTAAGAGAACTATAAATAAAATTGAAGCAGGCTGAAACAAGGAAATTCCTAAAAGTTCTTCAATGAAATTGTGAACGGTCGTAATTAAATTTGACGTTATACTTATCCTTAGATGTATATAAATACGAGTGGATGGCAATTTAACAAGAACATTTGTAGACTCGTTGAATTGCAATGAGGGAAAGAAGAGTTTTAATAGCTGCTACCAAGATTACCTGCTCACGGGGCATATTGAGATTGACAATTATGACAAATGTCATAAATGTCCGTCATATATGTCATAAATGTCATACATTTTGAAGCTGTGACATTTATGACAAAAAATTGGCAAATTGACATGTCATGACATTTATGACATGACATGACATTTATTCCGTTGACACTGACAATGTAAAACCCTACCTGTGTGACATGAATATTCATTCCGACGTTACCGATGGTGACATTTCCGGTGCGTTTTATTCAAGAATATTTAGACTTTAGTTTAATCACAAACATATTAAGGGGCCGTCCATAAATTACGTAACGCAAGAGGGCTGTCTAAGCCCCCAATGATATCGTGCAAGTGTTACACATATCAATGGGGGGTGGGAGGGGGGTCTAGCAAATTGTGATTATTGCGTTACGTAATTTATAGACGGCCCCGAAGTATCGCTTAATTTTGGATGGTCCTGTCTTGCGAAATAGCGGCTAACAGCGATTTTCCTGCAGACAAGGTTTCTAACAATGACGAGGATGACCAGCACATAACTGAATTCAATATTGAGGAAGAGTTCTCTGGAAAAGTCGAGCACGACGAAGCCATGCCTGACGCAAAAAATGTCAGACGACAGTGATGACGAATTTGCAAATTCCGATGTCGATGCTGAAGCCAAATACGTGTGCAAAATATGCCAACCGAACGTCACGTTCGTCAAAACTGTAAATCTCATACGGCACATGAGGAACAAGAATGTACACCCAGACGTTGTCCCTGCTTATAGCACAGGTGAGTTTACCTATGACGAAATGTACGGAACAAATAATATTACACTCTTTGGAATAATGCTACCCTTTTGTGCGCTATACATAAATTCTCAATTTATCTATTGTATGCGGACTTTAGTTTGAATTTTTTCCTTTCTTTAAATGATAGTTTGAAAATATTAATCCTCTTGCGTTTGGTTTTTAGTATAATTTACTTAGCATAAAATTCTCAGCAGATTTACTTTTCAAGGGGCAGCAATATTTCTAAAAGTGCAGGATTAAATAATATTAAATATATACGATTGAACCAGTTGTTTTACTCGAAACATCATCTAGACGAATATATTTAAATTGCCATACAGATACAGCAATAATGTCCGCAAATCTATTATCACCTCCTTTAAACACATTATAGCTTGTATGTAATGAGACATTAATGAAATTTCTTTGACAATATAGATACTCCAACCATGTACATCAATGTATCTATGTTGAAAAAGTACATGACAATGTTATATACCATGATTGCCCGGTACAAACCTCATGATGGTGTTCCTCATCCCCTCTTGATTTCCTACCCAGGCTTTATGGAATTAGCTTGGGACCCGGCTCGGCAAAAATACTATCACCGTGAACGATGGTCAATACCTGCAAACAGCATCATGAGTATCCTAACAAGAAAGAACCAAACTGCCCGAGAACATAAATTATGCCAAGAAGTCTATTATGACATTCTTCATTGTCTCATCCAGAGTAATTGGCCAACACATTCTATCCTAGAATTTGCGAAAATGTTTGACCCATACGAACAGCAGCAAGGTTTTCTGAACGATATAATTATCTTTGGGAAGACACAATTTAGCGAGGAAATACCAGATATTAAAGTTTCAGGTGTTTCTGTTCCAACGTGGATAGTTCAAAGGTATTTACAAAACATACTCGTAGAAGAAGATTCAAAACTAGTAGGAAATCAACCAACAACCTCCATGGGCATTGATGAAACAACTAAAAGTGTTCGACGTAGATTTAAGGTAAATTATAAAAAAAATATAATTCTACTAAACATTTATGTACAAACCATATCTTAACTTATCCTTTTTATTCAGTTACTGCCATTCCAAACCGTAACAACATGCAAATTCAAAAGAAAACTTCAAATGCACCACGTCTTCCTACAGGATCTGGAAAAAGATGCTGACTGGGAGGATCTGTTTTTTCAGGTTCCATTAGACGACGCCTACCCAGGGTTGAGAAATTATATGGCTCAAACGCAGAGACTGGCGGATTAAAGATATCGGGATTAAGGATTGAGATTGAGGATTAAATTTTAAAATCTTGGGATTGAGATTGAGGATTAAGGATTAATTTTAAAATTGTGGGATTAAGGATTGGGATGAGGGATTGAATTCAATCTGGGATTGGGATTAATTCGGGATTAAAGTTTGGGTAGTTTTCTGGGATTGGGAATTAATTTAGTCCTGGATTAATTGTTTGCATTAAATTTCATTATGCCAGATTTTTAAATTAATTAAATGAATCTGAACTTCGGAACAAGAAATATTTTGAACATTTCACATGCAAAATTAGATCGTTTAGGAATAAAATTTTTAAATGGCAATTGAATATTTTTTTGCACTAAAAATTATATACGGGAAAAATGCTAATTTTACTCTAGGTACTATTTTTAACGGAAAACTTTGACCAGAATTTGAGCAGAGCACTCACATTGCTCACACCAATGTTGAAAATTGTGCATTGAGGATCTCACGTTATGAGTAGTTTTGCAAAATGATCTGCAGTATTTTTAAATATGTGATAAAAATGAACGAAATGCAATCAATTCTTGAAAAGGGAGCGATCTTAAGAGAAGTTAGCTTTTCGATTTTTCATTCATTGCAAATTTAATCCCATTTTAATCCCATTCTAATCCCACTTTAGGATTAAACTTGGCATAGAGGGATTGGGGATTAGGGATTAAAATTTTAGAACTTGGGATTAAAGATTGAGATTGAGGATTAATTAATCCCCAATCCTAATCTCAATCCCCAATCCTTAATCCGGGATTGACCAGTCTCTGCTCAAACGTTTCATCTGTCTCACTTACTGAATTCCTCTAAAGGTCACTCTGTATTAGTAAATATTGAAAGAAAGACCCGCACAGTTTACCTTTATGAGTCGAACAACTGCCACTTAAATTTGGCATATATTCGGTCACAAATTCCGCAAAATGAATGGCCGTTTGCTCCTATTGGGGACTTAATTGCGAAAACGTTCAATTACATGTTTCCTCCAAAAGAAAACGAGAAAGATTACACATATGACTACGGACAGTGTCCACTCCATGAATGGAGAAAGGAGATGGATGAAGACGACAACGGAATCATATTGTGCGAAACAGGTGAGTCCCTGATAAGGGCAAAAGTTAAAGGGGACACCCCAATACAACAAGGGTTTTGGGAAATTCTTGAAGAATCTGTAAGTAAAAGACGGAATAGTTTTGCGAATTTGGAAAGCGTGGCAAATATCATTGAAAGAGATATTCCGCGAGTAGATAGAGTTATCCCAACTCGTAAATTCTTATTGTCAGATCGTAATAAGTACAGAGCTAAAATAATGGAAAAATTATCATAATTTGGTATTAAATAATATAGCAGATATTTATTAATGCTAGTACACTAGTTGTTAGAAATTGCGGAAATGAATGCAAAAAATATTATACATATTTGTGTAGTGTTTTTATCAAAAATATTGCACCGTAAATAAAGCATGTGACCTGTTTTGAAACTAGTTTTTACATTCAACTCGAATATCGAAACTAATAGAACTGATAAAATTCTTAACATGGCAAATTTTGGAGGCAAAACTTTGGACATTTATGCCACGATACATATACATAAATGCATAAATGCTTCACTCACTAAATACTCCTCCGTACATTAATTCATATAAATACAGAAATACTTAACAACATATGTAAAGCTTTCTGCATACGCGATTGAATAGAGTTGCATTATTTGCATGGTCAAATTATACTTTGCAGAAAGAAGCTGAAAAACCTTATGAAATTCACAACTTCGTTAGATACCCAGTTATCTGTCGTCAATGACTCGTCATATCCAAATATGCAATACATATTCGAGGAGAGTTGAATCAATTTTCACCACACAACGTGCGCAAATTCATATGCATGAAAAATATGCAAGAGGATAAAGGGAACGTCCATATGTTACGTCATCGTTTTAGTGGGTGGGTAGTTTAGATGTTTCCCATGTTAAAATTCCCTATCCCTTAATGAATACGTCGGGTGGGTGGGTACTGAAATCTAGAATTTTTGACGACGGAATGTATGGATGGCCCCAAAGTAAAATAACTTGACACGATTCTGCTTTTTGTCAGATTCCCCGTTTTTCATGCAGGCAGCCCTCGACACAAAAAACACGAGCAGCTGACGAGCAAAACCATCAAAACCCTACATTAAGCCGGCTAAAAAATTACGCTTTACTCAAATTTAGATTAATTTAGTAAATTCAAATAATCCAATAATATTCATTTCATTACCGGTACAAAATGAGCCAAAAGTGCAAGTCTTTTTCGCATCGATTTCACCAAATTGCACATAAAAAATTACAAATTCAGTTTTGGGTGGGGGGATTAATATAGCATAGCTGTTTTTGAATTATATTCAACCACACCCCCTTCAAAAATTGGGGAAGAAAATTGGGAAAAATGAGAAGGTCAATGTACACTCGGTACAGAAAGAAGTAGATACCAACTTGCATTTGACATTTGACTTCCCTCATGAATATGAACATTTTGATGCATCAAGACTTTCAAAATTCGAAAATTGGCGGTTTTTCGACCTACATATAAATCGTTAAAAAAGTGACCTTAGCGGTCATTTCGCGGCTGACAACCTGATGCCAGATTTTTCTTCGTCAGAAGTGCCACATTTTCCGCTTTTGTTGTCCGCTGCGAAATGACCGCTACCATGACTTTTTTGGGGTCAAAGTTTCTGAGGGAGGGGCTTATACGGCAGGAGCCGTAACAATGTATAGGTATTTATGATATACATAAAGGTAATTACATAGAAGCTATTAAAACAGCCTCAAATCGCCCCAAATTTAAAACTTAAGCTTTTCTGAATTTATAATGATGATATGCATTCGAAAATTAACGCTATGAGGCTTATCAACGAAGTTATCAATTTTTCAGATAAGCAAATTTAGTTTATCCAAATCGCCCCAAACTAAAAACTTAAGCTTTTCTGAATTTATAATGATGATATGCATTCGAAAATTAACGCTATCGGGCTTATCACTGCGCTTATCAGTTTTTAAGATAAGCAAATTTAGTTTGTCCAAATCTCCCCAAATTTAAAACTTAAGCTTATCTGAATATATAATGGTAGTATCCACTCGAAAATAAACGCTATCGGGCTTATCACTGCGCTTATCAGTTTTTAAGATAAGCAAATTTAGTTTGTCCAATTCGCCCCAAATTTAAAACTTAAGCTCAACGATTTATCAATTGAACCAACTCGTGTAAGAGATGAAAAGCATCTCAACACGAGTTGGTTCATAATCCCGGTAAACAATTTGAAGAGAGTGAGAAGTGAGACGGACCACCATACGGCACTGGCAACGACAGTCAGCGGTGGTGGTGGATACCCACCAGAATCCGAGTCTCACTCTGCCTTTCGCTAAATAATGGAAACTGCGTTTGTGAAACGGTTGGGCTGGTTCAGCTCTACCATTAGTTAAGCCAATGCATAAATGGGACTTTAACGAATAATACACGAAATTAAAGGTGCGTACATTTCCATTTCACATTTTAAAAAAATGCAAATTCAGTTTATTATTGTGCCGTTTACATAGAATGTCGAGAGAAGACGTGCTTTTAAAACACCAGAAAAATAGGACGGGACACATATTGCAGGATTTAATTTCCTCCACGGTCCTCCTCCACAGGTCAAATTTTGACCCCCCAACGGAAAAAGATCACAACTTTCCCCCGAAAATGGAGGAGGATAACTCATCCCCCGAATTATTAACGTCGTTCTGTTCGATCTGCACCGAATCTGGGACAAATCTGCGCCCTCTCGCTGTTCAGGAAATGGAAATTCTGGCCAAATTTGTCCTAAATCAGGAGCAAGTTTCCCTCATTTTCCAAACTGAAAGTCATCCTCCCATATTGTGTTGCAAAATTTGCTACTCCGCGATCCTCTCGTTGGCCAAGTTGTCCACGCAGATTGAAAATATCACCAGTTCTCTCCGAGCCGTCATTTCCAGCAGGAACGGACTGTTCAATAAAGGGCGAAATGAACCTGCAAAAATTTCTGGTAAAGAATAATCCACTCTGATTTAATCGTTTTCAATTAAATTGTAATTAAATTGGCTTAATGTAATTTAGAATTGTCCCTTGAAATACCTGCGAACATCGACCAGATTTCTAACAATGACGATGACCAACAATTAACCGGGTGCCTTGAAGAGGAGGAAGAATTTGTGATAAAAGTCGAGCCAATCTATGACGACGAGGACGATGACCGTGACGAAATCACGTCTGATCCTCTCAACTTGTCAGAAAATGAGGACGACGAGCCCAACTTTGCAAATTCCGAGGTGGACGCAGAATCGAAACTTGTGTGCAAAATATGCCGCCCGAACGTGACCTTTACCAGGGCTGACGCCTACAAGCGCCACATGATTAACAAGAAAAAACATCCCGATATTTCCGATGCAGATATTTTAAGTGAGTTTTATCATTATACACGGGAAAGATAAGGATGATTAAATATAAGCATTTAATATGTAAAAATCTTTAGCCACAGGAAGACATGTGTGCAAAAAATGTGGCGTAAAGTTCGCCCGTAAAGAAAGGCTCTTGCGCCACATGAGTAATCATTCAGATGCTGATATGGGAGGTGAGTGTATGTAAATTTACACTCTTAACAATGGTGTTACCCTTTAAAAAGTGCAATTTTAAAAAGTAAAATTGCACTCATTTACATTTCGTAAATTGTACTAAATCCAGTGGAGTAGAACGTTGTAATAAGGAGGAAGGGACCCTCCATAAATTATGTCACGTGAGAGGTGGGGGTGAAGTCAAATTCTTAAATAATCGTCCCTACATATGCTAAAAGGGGGGGGGGAGTCTAGAAATTCGCGTGACATAAATTATGGCTGGCCACTAAAGTTTGCTCTGAAATTTCTCTTTAATTCATAATGAATTATTCATTTTTTAGAACTTACTTTTTCATCAAAACGGTAACGTTATTTTTAAGAGTGTGAAATCCATCAAAAATTCAATTTAAGTTTCTGGTTTGCATATAAATTTCTTGCTCGCAGCTAACAAAGACGTTACAAATTCGGAATCCGACGTCGAAGTTGAATTAAGTTATAAGTGCAAAATGTGCCAACCGAAAGCCATTTTTCACAGGTTGGATACCTTCAAGCGCCACCTGAAGAACAAGAATATTCATCCAGACCTTTCCGAGGCGGATGTTGCAGGTGAGATTGCACAATTATTGTACAAAATGCAGAGGTCGGCGCTGCAGGTAGCATTTTACGCGCCGCCGGAAGTATTTTATTCGCGCCGCCGGAAACATTTTATTCGCGCCGCCGGAAGCATTTTATTCGCGCCGTCGGAAGCATTATATGCGCCGCCGGAAGCTTTTGACACGCCGCCAGAAGCATTTTATTCGCGCCGCCGGAAACATTTTAAGAATGGAAGTATTTTACGCGCGCTGACTTCGCAAGATTGGCCGGGGTCGACCTCTGATACAAACAATTTATACAAAAATTAATTTCTACGTGTATTTAATTTAAATTTGTTTCAACAGCTGCAGCAAAAGAACAGTGAGTATAATATTTCATTAAATTTCCTAAAACCTTTGTTTTTGGAATTTTGATAATTTAATGTTTAAAAATAGCATGAAATATGACCCGATGCCATATACATTATGTGTATAATACACACATGCATAATTTTATTTTACTTTGCTCCCTCCCTGTTTGGGAACGTCCACATATTACGTCATCATTTTACTGGGTGGGTAGTTTATATTTCCCATGTTAAAATTCCCTATCCCTTAATGTTTACGTTGGTTGGATAGTACCCATAGTCAGATGAATCCGTGACTCTCTACAGAAAGAGATGGATAGGTGCAAAAATCGAGATGACTAATTTTGACGACTTAATATATGGATGGTCCCTATTCTCGTAGTGTAGCACATAATTAGTGTCTCACAATACGGTACTATCGTACTTAGGCTTAGCACCTCATTTGCATAAATCTCACTATGCCTCTATGCCTGTGTTCATGTCTTTCGCGAATGCGTCAAAATATGCAAATGAAGTACCAAGCCTAAGTACGATGATATAGTTCCAATTTTGTTTTTATTTCCTAGATTTGCCAACGTAAAACAGAATGAATTTCCGTGTCCCAAATGCGACAAGAGTTTCACCTCGGAGTGGACGTTAACCCGACACAATCGCTTCCTCCACGGAGCGGTTCCTTTTAAGCGGAAATGTACCCCGCAAGTCTCAACGAGCTTGTTGCAAAATCAAATTCGCAAACATCGTAAAGTCGTAATCCCAAGAAGCAAAACAAAAGCACCACGTCATTCTTGTGACATTTGTGGAAAAAACTTTGCCACCTGGGGAAACATGAATCGTCACGTGGAACTGCTCCACTTCCCAGACAAGACGTCCTGTCCGTACGGATGTGACGCCAAATTTGGCTCGGAGGCTGACTGGTTGACGCATTTGGAGGGGTGTTACTCACCAAAAATGGTCAGTTTTAATATTTAAAAGTCAAAGCAGTGACATATATAATTCGCACTCTTAAAAATAGTGTTACATTTTTTGAAATGCAATTCACTCAGAATTTTATTCATATTAAACAAATTATGGAAATCTGGGATATGTAGCAAGGCAGGTATTGATTTCTTGATAATAAATAAAGCTGCTACCGGTTGGTAATAAATTAAGAATTGTAAAAATTTGCTACCGATACGGGAATTTTCTACCGGTACCGTTAATGTTACTACCGAGCTATTACTTTTCAATACAACTTTGGTCGAGTCAAATATGAATACCGCTTGGTATTATTTTAATACTGGATTTCTAAGAGTGTTCTATAACCAGAGTAAATTTTACTCTTTATCAAGTGAAGATTTACCCAGGAAGTTTACTCAATATTTAATTCAGTGTGGATTTATATACTTGTCAAAAAGGGAACATTATTTTTAAGAGTGTACTGCGCAGTACCCAATCAGAATTTTTACTGATTTTTTTGACGTTTTTTATTGTATTTATGCAGAGTGCAGAATCGGAGTGTCCTTGTAAATCGTGTCCCGCCGTGTTCCGCAACATCCTCCTGCAGATGGATCACGACCTGCGCGTCCATGCCCAAAACATGTACCGCTGTTCTATTTGTGAGCAAAGATTTACTCGACAATCTGTCCTCTATGATCACCGGTGTACTGGTTGAAAATCAAGATGGGAACTTAATTCATAATTTTGTTCGTGTGTAAAATATATTTATTTCTGAATGATATTTTAATAATTCTTCCCGTTTGATGTTTGATGTTTGTATATATTTATTTATTGTACTTTATATTACTAGCTAATTTAATTCAATTGGTTAATTTCAAATATGTATGCACCATAGACGTAGACTATATTACCTTAAGATTTATAAGAAGCTGAAGAAGTTGCTGTGTCGGATGAAGTGAATGGTTACTGGAGTCCGTATTTATATGATTCCTAGAATGTGTAAATTTTAATTAAATTAATATTATCCACACAGTCTTGAGGTAGGTATTAGATAAAAGTCAATTTACGTAACTGGTAATATTTGAATACTTCACAGCATATCTAGCTCAAGGTTCGATTTGTAAATTGGTTCATGGAATTTTTATAAATATCTTGGGACGCTTTTGAACTATTGAAACCTAATTGAAACTTTTCACCTCATGAATTTAGGTTTTTGGGTGTATTAGTTTATCTTGGAGGTTAATTAGGTACTTCCAAATTTTTATAAGTGCCACTATAAACAATAATGTCGGCCAAGTGTAAACAGTTTCATGGTTGTGAGACCTTTGTTTAAATTTGGAATAGAAATCGGAATTTTTTTGGCTGGCGTAAAAAGCAGACTATCTTTAGAAAAAATAGGTAGGTTCTAAGGTCTGTCAATTCGAGATGACCTAATTTTTCTAGATAAATGTTAGAATTTTTTTGTATTTGAATCCTAAATTTTGCGTATTTACATACTTGTGCTTTAAAAAAACGTTTATATTTAAACGTATGTAATTTAAAAAATTCCGAAAAATATGTCTGCATACATGCAATAGTTTGTCTATGATTATTGTATTCCAAATAGAACTATGTATGGGTATAAGTATGGTGATATCGGCGGGTATGTATGTAAATTCATGGAACCCGGCCCCGAGTAGGGATCGAAATTCTCAGAAAATCCGTATGACGCTAGGCTTGAATTGTGTGCACAATTGTATTTACAAAGTTGAGTTCGGTTATGCAACAACGCTGCGGTTAGAAAATGCAACTTTCAATAGGCTTAGTAAATAGAATCCTTATGAATATTTGCATATGTGAGTTGGCACAAAGGAGTTTATGTAAATTTTACCCGGAATTGTTTATCCAGTTTTTAGAACTGTCATAAAATCCCATGAGGCCGGGGCATAGATATTTCTGGTCAGTGGCGCAAATAGCACATAGGCAGGGTAGGCAATGCCTAGGGGCCCCGAGTGGACACAGTATCAAAATCTAAATATCTTGTTTTAAAATAACTTATTCAAAAATTTTGAAATAGAAGTTGTTTCATATCATTTTATTAGTTACGTAATTTATGTATGTAATTAGTATGTTGTACTTGTGGTTTTATTTTGAGTTGATAGCCCAATTTGGAAGTCAACAAATGCTAAAAATTTCAATTTAGCACGAGTTGGTGACTAATTTTAGTGAATTTAAACCCAACTAATTTAGAACTCATCGGCAACACTAATTAAATTATTCAAAAATCACTTTATATTCAAAAATTCATAACCTTGTTAAAAATGCAGGGAAATGTGCGAAAATATATGTCAAGCTCAGGATGATTTGGGTTACAACTCAAAAATTAAACGACAAATGAAAAAAGATTACCAAGAAAACGAGTTTTAAGGAAAAAATAAATACCTTTGGCCTTTTGACTTTATAGAAATTTCGCAAAAACATTAAACAGATGAAGTTATCATCTTTCCAACCACTAATCTGGGAACATATCGAGGTGTCCAACGAGTTTGAGGTCGATACCCGGAAGGAGAAGTCAGGCTCTGAACGTTGTTGTCGAACACATGTCCTCTTCGAAAATTAACATAATTTTTTTAAATGCCAAATAATTTTCACAACAATTTTTTTTCAAATTTCAAATAATTTGTTCAACATTTCAAATTAAGTTTTTAAGTCATGCAATTTTTTTCAATTTTGTGAATTTGTACCAGTTTTGGAAATTATGTATTTTGCTCGTCACAACTTGACGAAAAGTGAATTTTACAAGGAAATTCCTTCAGTAGGCTGGACCATGTATAGTGGTTATCTTGGTATATCTAGGCGTCGACCACCACCCCCGTTGGACACCTCGGTGTGTTTACTTGTTAGATACATAAAAGAATGAACTAAAACTTTAGATAAAAGTTTTTAGTTGTATGATTTGATATATATTTGTAACGGGTATTCATAGTTTTAAGTTTGTAGCTGGACACTCAGTAGAGTGGACTGAGCATGCTGCCTTTCCATGGCAGTATTCGCGTCCAAAGGGGCATACATTAAGATTGAATAGGCAGTGGTGGGTAGAGGATAGGCGGAGTGGGACTGGCCCCGTGAGTGCAGGGGTGAGTGGTGGTGCTTACGGCAAGCCGGCGTCTCTTCCTGTCTTACTATCCTTAAATGGTTTCTCGATCCCCATATCTCATCAATAGATATGGGGATTATACCTGAGCAACTAGATAGCCACTGTCATACGGTGTAAGTAAGAGGATATGCAATAGATCTGATGAATGATCTGAGCATTGGGTTCCTCCAACAAGAGGAGCCCTCCTCCCAAAATACATACATAGTTTTAAGTGAATAAGAAGGATGAAATGCTTATGGAAATATCCAAGTTAAAAAATTGAACTTCGAGTTACTACATACATATGTTAATAAAGTTTGAATTTTGACGCATGCCTAGGGGCCCCCGAAAAGTAGTTGCGCCACTGTTTCTGGTACGGGAGAAAGTATTTCATACGTACATATGTAGCTGTACATATGTACAAGGACATTGAATCGTGTTGGTAAAAAGCTCAAGCGATTGTCCTCGGTGAGAATGGAGAGGAGGAAAATAGAACATGCAAATTAATAAGTTTTCAACTGCCCTTAAAGTCCTCAAAGGAAGTTTCCAATTCAAAATTAGAACCAGAAGTAAATTTTAAAACAGAACCAACAAAGGTTGAAACCTATATATACGATGTGACCTGATTACTCTGTAAGTTTTTAACCCAGTGAACTTACTTAGTTTATAAATTTGTATTTTAAAAAATTCCCCTTAGATAGATAATTAATGTTCTAAAATAATTGTATAGTAATGGGGGTGCAAACCATGTTCACCCCAGATTATTCTTTTGACCATTTCAGATTGAAAGACTAACTTGTTAGTGACAACATTTTGCACCGAGCTTGCGGAGATGGGCAACATTCAGAAAGTAAAATCCGCGATTTTCAGGAGGAATAAATTCTACAGAAGTTTGACCATTCTTGTAACGTCAAAACCATAAAACTAAAATTTAATTTCGCGAATGCGTTGGTTCAGAAAGCCTGGTTCTGTAGTTATTTATGAAGTAAGTAATACAATTCGCAATACTTGGTTTTTATGAAATTCTAGAAACACTGTGATGACGAATGGTCCGGAACATTACAGTCGCAGAATCCGAAGTACACATGTTTTAGTGCGAAATTCCAACAGATATGTATGTAAGTACACATAGCTGGGCGAATTTCAGTTTGAACGAATCTCCATTTTTACATATATGAAGTCAGACATTCGACTCAACGTGGAGGCGAATAATTCTTTTAATTTCCTGATTGTATTTTTACTCTCAGGCTAAAACTTATTTAAATTTCAAAAAATTCGTCGAAATTCAATTTATGATGTATTTAACACGCATTGAATATGTTTGGACCCCTGTATGAGATGGGGCTCAAGCGTACACCACCCTAGGTTTTTGTAAAATTTTGGGGCAGATTGACACAAAATACTTCTGATTACAATTTAAATCAATACTGATTAAGTTTTCATGAAATTTTGAGCATGCAACTTGAATTTCCAATATTCATGGTTTCCTGATTGGTTTGCATGTTAAGCATCAACTTTTGACATAAACATCCAAGTCAATGGAAATGCTTAAAAATGCAAGTTATTAAACTAGCTTTACTCTAATAAGTAATTTTCGGAATTTTGCTATCTCACAACGTTTTGTACGTATGTACTTACTTTTTGAGATCACAGTTCCTAACCTTCTGAAAATATTCATAGATTTCTGCACATACAATTCCTTTGATCGGGCAGCTATGTATGTTTTTTGCGAATTGCACTTCCGCAAGGATTTTGTGACTCATTAGTTTTCCTAAAATTAATGACTCGTTATAAGCACGAGTGCAGCGTAATGTTACATTCTACGCGGAGTAAGTGGAGCATGGCTGCGAAGGAGGAAGCGATCTTGACACAGACGAATATGAGGAGCAGATGTGCATACATCTTTAACCTGGTCGGGGGGAACTAATAAGGTCGAATAATGAATCGTCACCCGGGTTGCGAAAATGACGTGCTCACATTTGTCCCACGTCGGATTCTCGGTGTGTCAAATCACTTACATAAATAATTAATATCGCCCACATTTTTAATGCTTTTCTGGCACCGGGTTCGGTCCACACACTTAAAAATAACGTTACATTTTTGAAGAGTGAATTCAATTTGAATTTCGTAAATTAATTATACGGAATCCAGAGTAACGTTTACTTGATAAAGAGAAAAGTTTACCTGGAATATACATAATATGGTTTTCTTAATACGGAATTCAGAGCGGAGTTACTTTTCAAAATGGTGACCTTATTTTTAAGGGTGTATTTTGCAAAAAATTATGCACATTGAGTAGTTTGTTGCGCCATGTTCTCATGAAATGGTTATGTATCTATATAAATGCACATGTCTTTTGTTACCTAATGGCGTAAAATTGAGAATACTTAATGTGTACATGCATCTGTTTTTTCTCATAATTTCTTAACACCATGTAAATTATGTAAAATTATGCGTTACGAGAAAACAAGTGTAAATTTTGCATAACGTGAAAAATTTTGGTAGCCTCAGTTAAATTGTGCATATGTAAATAGAGGTTCAATGGTGCAAGGTACAAAATGTACTTCAAATTTGTCACGCGAGGAAAAATCAGACCTCATATTTCCAAGAAAAATATACAGGGTGGTTTAAATGTCAGGTTACAATGGAAAACTTGCCAAGGGGAAAAATTAATAAATTTCCATTAGTTGCGGATTTGGGATTGAGATTTTTATTAATTTTTATCAAAACTTATGGAATCCTGATGACAAAATTCTTCAAATATTGAATTTCAGAGGCAAAATTTCGGTAACTAATGGAGATTTGCGAATTTTTTTCCTATTAAACAATTTTCCATCGTAACCTGACATTTAAACCAGCCTGTACTTAAGTAACTTCTGTACGCAGTTACATACTTTCAATTTTAAAATTTCCGGGAACGTGCATAAAGCACGTGGTAAAATACTGTCAGGTTTCCATACAAATTGCATACAATTTGCGTCTTATGAATCTATTAAATCACGTTTCACGACGGTAGTAGCAAAATCAGAAGTTGAATCTGTAATAAATATTTAAACACGACAAAATATTACCGCTTTGGTGACATATTTAGTGTATAATTCCGCACAAAATATTACCGCTACGGTAACGTACTTAGTGTGAAATTCTATGTGTACTTTACTACATTTATAAATCGTCCCTCTAATAAATTGGGACAACTTTGACACATTTAACTCGATTAGTTTATTTGTTTTGACGATGTGCACTCATTTCTTCGTAAATTGTGTCCTCGTCACCCATCCCGTAAAAACAAACATGTTTGTTTATACAGGTTACACAACATTAATGCAGTAAGTATGTATGTATTTGTCCTTTTTTGCAACCCATTAAGTTTTCGGAAGGAATAAACCCGGCTGTTTTATTTCCTGTGAAACAATGAAATTCTTTTACCCGAGTTGAGCCTGGTTTTGGCAGAGATGGGAAAAAATAAAGTTTGGCAGGCTTAAGGTGACGGAACGCTTGACTGGAGATGAGTCAGGGTTTGATAAGTGAGTGCAAAGAAAGGGACGTGCGTGATGGATAAGGTAAGATCTTACAAGTTATTGTAATGCGATATGAGGAACATAAATAATGTGGTAATAATTTGTTATCGTGCGGCAGCTAGAATTTATCAGTTATTAATAATGTAAAAAAGATTTTGAGAGCACAACACGTGGTCGTATTTTTTGCTTCCAACAAATTTCCAACAATGTATCTTAAATCGATGATGGGTTCAACCTGTTCACATTCATGAATTTAACATTGGTGAATATAGGAATGAATATTCATTCACAACGTTAAATTCATGAATGTTAACACCTCTGGATGGGTTAAGTTTGGTAAAGGACTGTTCGAAATAATTAAAGTTAGTCTGGAAATGTTGCATGATTTCACCATTTTGTATGAAAAATTGAAAGTTTGTAAGAAAAATTGACAGCACATTAGGCTAAATTCACTACAACCTGATTTATGTATTTACGCTAAATAGTTCGACACTACAGTTCATTACCAATCTGTGTCTCAACCTGCATGACACGTAAATTGGTAAGAGTAATAAGTACCATTTAATCAAACTATTACCAACCCGGTAGGGAATGATTACCAAGCCAGTAGCAGTACGGAGTAGATATGTAAGTGATTCTACAGGATATTGAGGATTTTAATTAAATGGTGAGAATGTTTAACCAAAATTTTCATTGCATGAAATTCTTACCCGCGTAATTATTTACAGTGTAAATATGACCAAGAATTAGGTTGAATTTGGTAGAGCTTTGTTTAACAAATTATTTTTAGATCTATTTACACATTGTTTAACAAAATGTATCGGTAACAAACTTTGTTACCGAGTTGTTTACAGTGTGATTTGCTTAACTACCGGAAATCGGGGTGACATCCTTCCTGAAGCAGACGAAAATAATAATAAGTTGCATAAAAGAGTTGACTCATTAATGTCCTGCTCATTTTTTTCATGGGAAGACGACGAGATGCGGAGGAGAGGATAATTTATCGAGCGAGATTACAAGAAACGCGACCCGAGCCAAAAGATTTTGTTCAAGCTTAGAATCAGTCTGGCGTATGATGTAGAAGAACGAGAAGGAAATTCCGTTCTGATAAGTTTCTTAAGTTTGGCGATAATTTTTTTGTATTTTTTTGAATTTTTGAAAAATGGCCGGTGTCCTGTGTCAAGGGGGTGGTTTGGTGTTTGGAACGACGGGTAAGTGGGGGTAAATCAACATATGTAAAGAAGTGTTTTAATTGCGTTAATTATTTTGTACGATGTCGAAATGAATCGAGCTCATTAAAATAGTTAAAATCAACTTGCTAAAATTCTTTAAATGTTAAATATGTGATACATACGCTCCAGTTATACGATTAAATTAACCAATTAAATTTTTATTGAGTACACACAAAATGCGACAACCTTGCAAATTTCATAAGCCGAGAATATTAAAGAATAAATAATTTTTCTAAATTAAATACATATCGTAAAACATTTTAATACGAAAGAAAGCTCGTGAATAAATCACTTTAAAAAATGTCATCCATACGATCTGTTAATTCTACCCTAAATTTTAATACGAAAGGATTATTTAGAATTTTCGCAAATTTATGGAGTGTACGCATTCGTTGACATGAATACGCCCAATACGTACATATGTATGTATTTATGCACATATGTATATGTCCGAGCTTATCTCAAATTAGTACGAAATGGACGAGTTTTTTAATGTTGATAACTAATAAACGGATTTCATGTATTTGATTATGGGTTACTCAGAAAATAAATAACTTGCCTGTGCTGTTTATTTGAAATATTTTTTTTCTGCGAATTTTACTGCAAAATTTATATACATATGTATTAGGAATTATTACATTAAGCTCTCTTACTGGTAATTACATAAATTCTGAGTTAAATCTTCCCTGACAACTGTACATATGCAAAATAGTTAAATTTTGTACTAGATTTCTGAGTACACTTAAAAATAGTGTATACATTATTGATCATTTACATACATGTAAGCGATCAATTATGTAAATGCAGTCCAAATTAGTTGTTAAATCTCTTTGGGTATAGCACAGTATATGTACATACTTAATTTGCATATAATTCAGAGCTGATTTATTTTTTAATAATGGTAATATGTAATGTTTTTAGGAGCACACTGAATGAATAATTTTGTACTCTTTCTCACTATTCACAGGAGGCCGATGTAGGTTCATGGTTTTCCTGGAAGAGTTTAAGGTCGGAGAGAAAGTAGTTTCCGGTTTGACGGTGGGGATTGATGGGCCCTCCGAACCCGAGATAAAGTTCGACCATGAAGACAATGGAAACATTGAGGTGACCTGGACCCCTTATGCGCCCGGATTTTACGACGTCCACGTCAAGTTTAACGGCACCCCGGTGAAAGATAGCCCCTTCAATGTGAAGATTGTGGGAGAGGTGGGTTATTTTATTTGTATTTTGTTAACTTTTGTTAGACCTTTTACGTACAATGGTATTTATAAAATTAAGAAATTACAAAACTTAAGCGTTTACTTCAAAGGGGTCAAACATAGAATTTAATTTTCATATGCTAAATTTAAAAACAAATTTGTTGTTTTTCAAAATTGTGATCAAATTCAAATCGAATTTCCGCCATGTTACGGTTTTAATACTAATTAATGTAAAAAAATGTTTATGAAATTTTTTAAAATGAACTTTTACATATACAAATTTGAAAGGTGTGCTTTTTTTTGCTATTTGCAAATGAATTTTATATTCGTTCTGCATACACACAATTGCAACATGTAAAGTTCATACCTATTCTTAAACATAATTTTGTCTTCTTCAAAATTAAATTGCATGAATTCTAAACTTTGAAAAATACAGCATAAACTTCACTCTTTCACAAGTTCACGTGACTCTGGATTTAGTATGGTTTACTTAATATGAAATTCATATTATCTAAGAAAATTTCGAAATAAATTCGAAATATGACATTACTTTTAACAGGGTTGTAAATTTATATGATATGTAATTACCCTTCGTTGTCTTTTTTTCGCCAGGTGAATTGCATGGGTCAATACACGAAACCGAAGGAGCAGGTCGTGACCGGTTGGGCGGCGAGACAAAAGGCAGAAAAGGCTCTGAGGAACCCGAAGTAATGGTAGAATAAGGTCCCCTAATAATTCAGGGGCTGTTCATGAATTTTTTAGCGGACATTGTGACTTTATGTGATGTCAAACTTGCATAATTAAATGGAGTGGTCTTTACAATCAAGACTTTTCCGCCTCATAATTTATGAACGGCCCATTAGTGATTTCTTTCAGCTCAACTATTTACCGTAGTGCTCATCCGTGAACGAATTACTAATGCCAAAATTAAATGCTGGTATAGCTTAAATGAAATTATGTATGTAAGGTATGAAAATTTGTAAAATGTGAAACTTTCAGAAATTATCCGAATATTACTTGTACTTTGTTGGTAATAAAATACGTACGTGTATAATTTATGACTAGATTTACATATTTATTTGGACACCAGCCTTATCATTTTGCATGGCGAGTGTCACACGTGTTATTATGTTATGCGTATCAAGTATCACGTTGATAAGTGAATTGTGTAGTTACATATTTGGCACCGTATGTACATATACATGGATATGTAACAAAATGTCCCGTTTGCAAATTTCAACAGAGATTTCCTGCTGAATTTTCTGTCAAAAGAAATTTCTTCAGAATGTGCCATAGTGCAGAAATTTTCCGCAGAATTATGCATGTTTTCCAGAAGAAAAGATCACTTATGCAATTTTCATATCTGAAATCAGCAATGATCATGTTGAGCCGCATACATACGTGCAAAAGCGATTCTGCCAATAATTGTCAGGTTATCATGCATTTCTTGCACTTTGGACAAAATGAAGTGAAAAGCTGATGATAACCAAGTTATCTTCATCATTTGTTTTTGCAATCAGGTAAATTTATTTATTAATTATTACACAGATATAATAAATTTAGCTTATGTAAATATTTATCAACATCGGAGAAGTTCGAAATGGACACCAGTGTCCGTACATCGCACTGTTGGTCAAAATTTTGTACAACATTGTACAAAAACATTGTGTAACTTTGAATACTAAATGTCGTATTTGAATATTTGAATAAGAAATTGATGAAAATAAGTTTCTGAAATTTGGAAAAATGACATTTTAAACCTTCTCCAAATTTTTCAAACCTAAAATAACTAATTAATCTTGGAACTCACGTATCCGATTTCTAAGATATGCAGAGGACAGGAAAATCCAAAATTTCGATGTAGAAAGTTGGACTTTCACTTTTCCGACCGGATTGTTCCCAATTAATTGCTCCGATTTAATTCCTCCCTCGAAGCGGAAGCGATACAATATTCTGGAAAAATTTAAACTAATCATAAAATTCTGATTTATTTGTACTAATAATGGGTACACTCTTAAGAATAATGTTATCGTTTTGAATATAAAATGGACTCTGAATTGTAAAGCCAGTAAAGCATTCTAAATCCAGAGTAACGTTAAACTGTTAAAGAGCAAAGTTTACTCAGGATTTATTTAGGACAGTTGAGTTAATTTAGAGTGCATTTAGTTTTCACAAGCGCAACATTATTTTTTAAAACACGAAAAAACACATTTAAAACACATTATTTACACGCAAACCGTGTAAATTTCGCATATTTTATGCACGATTCGTATCGTAACTGTACCACTTGTTACAAAATAAAAAAATGGACGCCATAATTTTATAAGTTTATAATTTGTTTATCTTTTATCTAAATTTTTGCATTTCTTCCTTCAAGGTTACACACATTTGCGCGAATCTCTTCAACTCTCCATCCTTTCTTTAAGAAATAAACTTACCGTATGATTTAATCCAGGAATATGAAATCCTGGCGGGACGTCGGCATTCTGTGGGACACAGCTCGCCAAGTAAAGCGCCGTTGCCACGGCACAGATCACAAGGACCAAAATTATCGCGAATAATCGCAAATTCATTGCAAATATGGGACAGGTTACGCAACAAGTATGAAAACAGCATACGTGTGAAGTCAAATGTAACAAGTGAATGTGGCGAGAGAGAAAGTGGAGGGACGACAGGTGCCAGGGTGCAATGAGTCGTAGTAGGTTGCCTGGATCGATACCTTGTACATACAAACTTACTAATCGATTCGGGATAACTTTTCCGGGTGAAGATTCCTTTCTCCGGGTAACTCCCGGACAAAAAGTGGTCTCCTCTTCTTCTTCTCAAAAAATTCGATCTTATGTGTTTCTATAGATGAAGATATTTACGTACATTGCTAAAACTCTGGTAGAGTAAGTGGTATGCTCTGTATGGGTATACCCATACATACATATATGGATCCATATATCCATATATGGATTTGCATCCATATATGGATTTGCGAATGACTTCATACCGGGTTGGTAGCAGTTTGTTTCTGAGTGGGAAATTTTTTGTTGGCAAAATATTTCTAGGCTGTAATGCTTGTTATTGCCAGTGCTGATAGAGCCATACATTGTTGATAAGTATGTGCTCTGGTCGGTAATGATTGAATACAAGTTTTGCAATAAAATTGCAGGTTTGCGATTAAGGGAAGGTCCATAAATTACGTCACGCAAGAGGGGGGAGCGGGTCCACGGTTCCCATGATATCGTGGATGTGTGACACAGTTAAAGCTGAGGAGGAGATCTAGAAAATCGCGATTTTTGCATTACATAATTTATGGATGGCCCCTTAAGAATTTAGACACAAATTACATACAATTAACCCTCATAAAATTAACCCTAATCCTATACTCGAGTTGATTTAACAGATATTTCACACCTATTTTCTGAAATTATTTTTTGTAGGTCCAATGTTCCCTGCGTAATGGTTACGTATTTCTAAAATCTTTACCCATACTGAAATTAATTTAAACCATTTATACTTGATATTTATTAATATCTAAGCATATTTATTATGCTTTTATTGGGAAAATCTCTAAACCCGCAGAACCCAGAATTTTAGTAATATAATTATTTTGCATATTAAATGAGAAAAGAAAACATTCCTAACACAACTAATGGTGTACATGGACGTTATATGAAGTTTATATAATGCATGTAAGAAAAAGCCAGAAAGGTTGGTTCGCAAACAGAATTAGATATTTTTCTTATAGAACATTAGGCACATCCTGCTTAACTAATTTAATAAGCTTCATAAGCGATTTGTGCTTTAGCATAAACTATTTTTCCGCAAATCAATAAATTAAGAATATCACTAATCCGTTTATTGTGTTACCTAAAGGGAAAATAGGTATACTAATGCTTTCTTGACGAGCCTGGAAACTTTATTCCCAAATACTCATATACGTATAAAATATGTCTAAAATTTGCGTATAAATCAATAAGTATTTTTATTATCTCTTTTGAGCGTCATTTCAGAACAAATATTCAAAATTACGTTTCACTTTTGGGTCTAAATACATATTTACATATTTGAGGAAGCTTCGTCGGAATACATGGGTGTGGTTTGCAAAAGCAATTTATTCTAGCTTTCGATGCTGAACTTGCATCATTATCAGGAAATTAGGATTAAAAAAACTATATTTACATATATTTACGGTACTCGAATCTGTAATCTCCAACGGTGTAAATAAGGCGTTGCTATTTGAATCAAATAACTCGTTCGCCGCACATACGCTTATCAATGCCGACACCTTCAAGTATTTACGCTCTGAACTCGTATGCTGCAGTATTTCAGAGGTTCGGGACTCTCCCTGTCCGCTGGGACGGGCAAAAGAAAAAGTTCATATACCGAATTAATCACAGAGAATTGCTCTTTTGGTATTTAAATGTGATTGCAGTATTATTTGGAACTTTTTGCTGTGGCATAATATGTCTGCGGCAGATATTGGTGAAAGTGACCAATGTGTCAATGTATGTTTTAGTCATGCAGTTATTCTTTGGATTAATGGGTGCCATGTCGGGGTTGGGGTTCGGGTTGCTGATTGTAACGTATGGGCAAGTGGGTACGACAGCGTGGGACAATATTTTCATTATTGACAAGATACTAAATAATGGTAATTAAATTAATTTTGAAACATACTTATCTTAAATTAAAAATTGGTCTTAAAATACAAATTAATTTTAAAATTTTAAAATACGCAAAAAATGTTCAGAATGGTTGTATTTTAAAATCACATCCTTGCAGAATCGAAGGCGCCTATGAAGAAGCACCATATGTTGGAACTTTGCACCCACTTGGCGGTTTTGGGCATCCGAATTTGTCCAGTTCTATCCGTTGTTATCGGTTTTTTCTCAACGTGTTTCCAATTTGATCCTTTCTTTTTAGTGTTCGAAGCCTTCTTGCCGAGTCAAATATTTCGAAGTCATACATTTATAATTGCCGCCGTACGGTTTATGCTATGCACAACCTGCAACTTTGAATTCTTCTGGATGGTAATATTCGTGTACGTCGTGGTGGCCGGAATAGTCGACATCCTCCTTAAAATCATAGGCCAACTGACGCGAGGGAAACTAACTTTTGGGTTGAATTTACGCGTATACGCCATGATGCATGTTGTAATTCGATCTGCTCAGGGCCTTCTGGATTTCGCGATGAGTTCATTTATAGCAGGATTAATGGGTGCCACTATTATCGCTTTATATTTGTCCATTTCGTCGTACAGTTTAATACCAGTTGCAATTTATTGGATGTTCCCTAACGCCGCAGTTATCTCTATCTCCATCTTGCAAATCCTCGTAATCCCTTTCATATACATGTGCGAAGAGTCGGCCGCGATTATTCTGAAGCTGAAAATTGTACCAGCCTATGTCTCGCAGAATGTGGTTGGTAATCCAATCAATGTAAGAAAGTTGGTGCGAAGGAGAATCAATGCTATGCGTCCTTTCGCATTTTACGCTGGTTTGTTTGATTACAGATTTCACAAACTAGTTAAATCTTCTAAACTTTCAATTATTGATACAATTTCTGGTGTTACGGTATCGGCACTTTTGGCTAAGCGGAAATAAAGTATCTGTGCATGCATCCAATTCAAGCCTATTCGGTGTTTTGATTAATTAAACAATGTATAAAGAAAACTTATGTAAGTCTATTTAAGTTAACCTGTGTTAGTGTATTCGATTTTTTGCTCGTTTCAAATTATTTTGAAAATATATTTTAAATAACATTTTTATTTTATATGTACGTCGTTATATCCTATTTATAGTGGGAGGAATGAAGGGAAAGTGAGAAAAACGAAGAACAAATGTATCTGTTAGTTATTAAATAATTAGATACAAAAAGGCAATTAACTGATCACTTTACTGGTGATTAAATTTCTGATTATCACCAACGCATAACATTTCCAATTAATTTGGCAGACTTTCAAACTCTTTGGAAAATTCGTTAACGCTTATATAACAACGATAAATAACAATCTTAAATTTTAAATAACAAATAACAACTTAAAGATCTTAAATAACAACGATTTTGATATGTTTTCACTTCAATACTTTTAGGGTGTTAGACTCATTGATACGTATAAGCACGTATTTAAGTTATTTGTCCACAAACTAATACGTTTTGGAGGGACAATGACGCATGACTTTTGGGTTCTGTAGGGCATAGGGTTTTAATTTTTTAATTTTGAAGATTATGACAGGGTAATAATAAATAAACAACGTAAACCTAAAAAAATCACACCCAACCACTTTTGGTGCTCTCGATAAGTTAGTCGAGGATCGCGACACCTTGATTTTTGACGCGTTCCGGGGTAATATTTCCAAGCCGGTTAAAAAATTCTGAAGACAACCAAAAAGAAAAACTTTCCGAAAATGGTTATTTTAAGTTTACAGTCTGACGTACACATATTGAAAATATTTCATTCCGTTTTTCCGTAAATACATATCTAGATTCATATCCACTGTCTGGGAAGTAGTAAAAGGATTAAAGTTCTATACGATCTGGAATGAAAAACGTATTGTTACGTTTATTGCACATTTTTAATTTGCACAGCATTGATTACATGGATCCCGCTATACAACTGGTAATGCAAAGTCTTGCTTCCCCGACTTTTGCACCCTGACCAATCTACCGAACGGGCCCGTGCAGTTCATTCCCACTGTTTCCATTAGGGAGAGCCCAATGGGAAACAGTGTTGGGAAAATGGGAAGGATTCCCCATCACTTTTCTCAAATACGAACCCATTGATTCCCATTCGAAATTTTAGCAGAAAAATTCCACTTCGGCATATATGATATCGGTGAACAGTATCCAGTATGATAATATAATATATGAAAACCATCAAAATTCCCTTTGGATATCTTAAAATAAATCCCAGAACAAAAACAAAATACCGACTATTAAAAATTCAATGTATTTATTTATACAAGAATCCAATTAATAAATTTTATACTATTCTTAATTCTCCCCTACCAAGTTGAGATACTCCTCAACTCTCGTTTCTGAATCATCGGAATTCGAACAACTGAATTCCGGCGACATGATCGTAGAATTTCCAGCCAGACCTGTGAGACGATTCATCTTCTTTCTGGCATCCCCAGGAATATTGTGAAGCTTCTTTTCAAAAGTTAACCACTCAACAGTATTTGGCTTCAGGCCGAAAATTTGCGTTGTGTAATCTATAAAAAACAGTACATTTTCTTTTAGGTTTTTTCATGTTTTTTTAACCATAAAGATCAATAATATGATGAATATCAAGCTCACCCTTTAATGCTTTAAATCGGATAGGGTCGATACATCTTCGAACGTTGTTCCGAATTCAAAATAGTCTTCGTCCTCCCAACATACGACGGCGTGGGTCATGTCACCGCAGGTATATTTCAAAGAATAGAAAATTTACCAGAGCGAGTAATTTAGGCTGACCAAAGAGAAACTAAAAAAGCATGACGAGGAGTGAATTCCAAATATGCCGCTCAGTATTTATCGGGGATGCTTGATATATTTCATGCCTTTTCGTCTAAATCCAATATGATTAATTCAGATGGGATATTGAGTTTTGTAATGCAAGTATGTTCCAATCAGATCCCGTTAACGTTAGCAATTCCATTGGGGACCTAGCAGTCATTTTCCTGTATAAAAGTTTCCAATTGGATTTTTTACATGAAATGCATATATGCATCACATCTTATTGGAAATATACTGTAATCATAAGGGATCCGTAAGGATCCATCTACTGTTCAGATTCCCCAATGGATCCCAAGTCTCAGAAACGCACGGGCTTCATGCATTAAACAGCGCATGTATGTCACTCCTAATTTGTTCGGAAAAATTGGTTGCTCAAATACAAAAACCCGGGTTGGATTAAAGTTATTAAATAAATTGAACAGGATGTCACTGATAGTGTATAAGGAAAGTAATTAGTTTTGATCGAAGCAAACCTTTTGTACGTATGTATGTACGTACATACATACTACATATATGTATGTATAAGGCTAGCATATTTACGAAGTCATGCATATACTAATTTTTGAAGGTTTTATTAGCATTGTACGTAATCAAATGATTTACTCGATTTAAAGATTTATCAACAAAAGTACTAAAAATATTGTATACACAATATAAGGACAATTCGTAAGAATTTAAATGTTTGTTTGAATTATATACATAACTGGTATTACTTAGAAATCTCCTTAGAAATTATAATTTCAGAATAAATAAACAGCAAATCTAATTCAGAACACGTGTCATAACAGTCGTAGCGTGTTCTAGAAATTAGGGCTTTTTATAATTTTGCCACAAGTTTCTTAATGTTGTCAACCAACCAAGCATGTTAAATTCCATTAACGATTCTAAAGAATTTGTTTAACTTTGCTAAGGAAATTTTTTTTATGTTTCTAAGGATTTTTTTTTGTTGCTAAGGAAATTTTATGTTGCTAAGGAAAATTTTTATCATTATCATAATTATATACTACGATCATAATTACGATCATAATCATATAGGAATTCGTATCCGTTCCCTGATTGGTGGAGCCAGAAAGCCGACAACCAATCAGAAATTCTGATTCAGAATTCAGGGATGTCACGCAAAATTTCACGGGACGAAATTATAATATAGATTTAGGACCTTAAACAGGCCTAGTCCAATACTGTTAAATGAGCTACATACATCAGCACATTTTTCCGTGAATCTAAAAATTGTACACAATCATACGTATGAGCTGTATCTTTTTACATTTTAGAATGAGTATTCTCATGGACATTTTAATTCCTCTTGGCCAAAAGTGCTGATATTGTAAAACTAGAAATCTTTTCAATAATCGTGCTCTTGGTCGATTTCCCTAATTTGTGGAACCTGTAATCCCACAAACCCGCGTAAACTACGAACGGGCGCATAGTACGGATTCTCTTGCGCCCCAGCTTCCTGTGATCGAAGCGCTGGGTAGCCACAAACTGCGGCATAGTTGCCGGCAGAATTTTTAACCTTTGAATAATCACTGTCGACTCCTCGCTCATGTAGATGAAAGGGATTAGGAGGACTTCTAAGAAGCAGACGCCGATAACCGAGAGGGTAGGAAACATCCAATAGACTGAGACTGGTATCAAGGTGTAAGCAGAAATGGACAGGTACAGAGCAATGCTAGTGGCACCCATTAACGCTGTTATCGTTCATGCAGAATAAATGGACCAACGGAATTCTCGGGAGGCTAAATGGCCGACCTTGCCATAACTAAGAACATGTAAAGTTTCAAAATTAATTGCACGGTCATTTCTTGATGGATTTTCCAAATGGCGCACGTTTTGGAAACCTTGGACCCTTGGGCGAAATATATATTTTCAAATTTTTGAAATTTGGCCCCACCCACCAGTTATCGAGGTCACAAGGTCAAAAAAATCAAAAGACATTGCCGTATTGAATTTCAAAATTCTGCAAGGGAATTCGAAAGACCTGGGTACAGATTCTTGGCGGATAGTCAGGTCATCGTATCCAGCGGTTATCTGGCCGCACCCCTTCATTAGGGGTCAATGGTGGGTGTGGTCAAAGGTCAATTCCCAAGAAATACAATAGAAAAAATTCTTACCACCGTATTTTCTGAAATTCAACGTCACCATTATTCATAAACTTCATCGTGCACCCCATCTGAATGACCTGACCTTATCGTAGACCTCATGACGACAAAGGGGTGTGGCCATCGGCGCTTCTGCGAATACCCAACTCATATACGGCATGCGACATATCATTCTTCTCAGCTCGATAGGGAGATCAAGATTAAACATTTGAAATTTGGAAACCACACCCCCAGTGGGTGTGGTCATCAGCGACTTCTCCATTTTAACGAAACCACGTCATTTGATATATCATTTTTCTCAGCTCGACGAGGAGATAACGGCAGAATACTTAAAAATTGGAGACCACACCCCCAGTGGGTGTGGGCATAAGCTACTTTTCGATTTTAACAAAACCACGTCATGTGATATATAGGTTTTCTCAGCTCGATGGGGAGATCACGACTTACACCTTGCAATCTGGAAACCACACCCCCAGTGGGTGTGGTCATCAACTACTTATCGATTCTATCATGCAATAAATCATTTTTCTTAGCCAGATGAGGGGATCTTAATTGGATAAGCAAAATTTGGAAACCACACCCCCAATGGGTGCAATAATCAGGGAGTTTTTGATTTTGACAAAACAATGTCATGTGATTTCCCTCGTCAACGAGAGAGGATTCAAACGATATACTTCAAATTTATGGTCCACACCCCACTGGGAGTTTTCCTCGGAATCACACCAATTGGTGGACACGGCAATTTGATAAGTAGTCTGCATGATTCTTATATTTGCTGAAGTCATGGACTTGGGGTGACTTTTTTTCTTCGCCCACTGGACGTGGATTCTAAACTTACTGATTCACCCGAGAATTTCTTTATATACAGCTGGGAAAAATTAGTGTGAAATCCGCATGTATGAATTCTTTGTATGTAGGCATTTTTTGCATGCACGTATTCTTTAGTTTGAGTGGGTTGGGGATGCGGATAAAAAAGTAAGTGCAAGCGGGAGCATGAGAAGAAGAGGGGCGCGTTGGCCTTGTGAGGTAAGATGAAGTGTGTAAGTAGATGTCAAGTAGAGAGTAGCCATTTTTAGAAAGTAAAGTGGGCTCTTAATTTTGTATAATAATTATTAGAAAATCTAAATAATTAATGTTCGTGTTTAAATGAACTAAAGTGTGATTGTTAATAAACCTGTTGCTAAAGATAAAAGTACCTAGTTTTGAGTTAAAGGGTTTATTTTAAAGTCAGCAGATTCGAATTAAAGTTTAGTTATTCTCTCTTCGTGATTCGGACTATTCCACGGCACAGTCAAAATACGGCGATCTCTTGTCAACGGGTAGTTGACACTGGATGATCCCAGTGAGTGAAGCGTCGCGATCTCACAATTAGACTAGATTTTTATTTTCAAATCGGATGTCTACCGACAATGGAGGTCTCCCAAGTTGGGAGTCCCAACGTATGCTCACAAATTTTTACTAGGCTGGAATCAGTCGGTCACAAATAGGAAGTAATTTAATGTATCAATACAATTTAATACAATTTAATACTTGTAATTTAATACAAGGGGAATTACCGTCCAAAAATGTAACAAGTTTCCCAAGTGGAAAGCAACATCTGAAACCACTCAACCTCTACTCTGCTCTCGCGCTTCCTCTGTGTGCATCTACGTGCACAAGTGGAAGAATTGGTGATATGGCAATGAAGGAGGAGTTAATTTGTAAACATTTTGTATCATAAAAGTATTGCACATTGCCAAAGTCAATTCAGTAATAAATCGACCTTCGGACAAGTAACAACCTTCTTCATCCTCCAGCCAGCTCTTATTGCCAGGCCATACCCGCCGCCATCATAGTCATCCTATCATCGTCATCACACTATCATCATCCGCATGAAGGGTCATAAGGCGAACGAGAACTGGCTCACCGGGTAGTAGAGGGACATTGGGATTGAACCAACCAATGAAGGGGGAATAGATTTCACACCTTAATGCTCTTAATTTCCCTCCTGTTGAATGGAAGTCGCCTCTAATTTTGCATAATTCTGTTTAAATTTCGTGTCAAGGATGGGTCTGATTACCAGAGACCATTTGAATCTGTTCCTAAAAACCCGAAATCTTTCGGGTAAAATTTTTTTTTACTCATTCTAAATTGCTCCAAAATTAATCCTTCTGACTTACAAAATGTCAAAAATGAAATTGGCAAATGGTGACATATTCCTGCAATATGGGGAGCGCAGCAAATTTGGACAGTGAAAAATGTGCCACCTTAAGGGGAACGTGTTCTCCTCTTTTTACTTATTCAGTCGCAAACCCCCAGACGAGCTGAGAAAATTGTATCACAAGGCATGTTAAAACCGAAAAGCCTTCGAGTTCAACTCCCAGTGGGGTGTGGATCGTGAATTTGAAGTATATCGTTTGAATCCTCTCTCGTTGACGAGGGAAATCACATGACATTGTTTTGTCAAAATCAAAAACTCCCTGATTATTGCACCCATTGGGGGTGTGGTTTCCAAATTTTGCTTATCCAATTAAGATCCCCTCATCTGGCTAAGAAAAATGATTTATTGCATGATAGAATCGATAAGTAGTTGATGACCACACCCACTGGGGGTGTGGTTTCCAGATTGCAAGGTGTAAGTCGTGATCTCCCCATCGAGCTGAGAAAACCTATATATCACATGACGTGGTTTTGTTAAAATCGAAAAGTAGCTTATGCCCACACCCACTGGGGGTGTGGTCTCCAATTTTTAAGTATTCTGCCGTTATCTCCTCGTCGAGCTGAGAAAAATGATATATCAAATGACGTGGTTTCGTTAAAATGGAGAAGTCGCTGATGACCACACCCACTGGGGGTGTGGTTTCCAAATTTCAAATGTTTAATCTTGATCTCCCTATCGAGCTGAGAAGAATGATATGTCGCATGCCGTATATGAGTTGGGTATTCGCAGAAGCGCCGATGGCCACACCCCTTTGTCGTCATGAGGTCTACGATAAGGTCAGGTCATTCAGATGGGGTGCACGATGAAGTTTATGAATAATGGTGACGTTGAATTTCAGAAACTACGGTGGTAAGAATTTTTTCTATTGTATTTCTTGGGAATTGACCTTTGACCACACCCACCATTGACCCCTAATGAAGGGGTGCGGCCAGATAACCGCTGGATACGATGACCTGACTATCCGCCAAGAATCTGTACCCAGGTCTTTCGAATTCCCTTGC